CTCTATTTCGTACCTTGCAAACCCTAATCCATCTTTGTGAGCATTTTGAGGCTTAGAGTGAGTTGGTGGTGTTCTTGAAAGAAGGAGAAGGAAACAAAACCACATTGGAAGCTCAAGACCTCTTGGATCCAGAAGTTTCTTGACCACCTTCCATGGCTAGCTGATTTTGACTTAATTGATTGTTTGGAAAAAAAAACATATGCATATGATTGATGCATAGTTCATTGGTTCGCTCCTTTTTAGAGAGTTCACTGATGAACTTGATTATATATATATATATATATATATATATATATATATATATATATATATATATATATATATATATATATATATATATATATAATGAAGGAGTTTTAATTCTCGATATGACACGAACCCGACACGAAAATAAGTGGTTGTGTTTGGGTTAGGGTTCATGGGTCAGCCCGTCAAGTTTATTTATTTTTATTTTATTATTTTATTTTTTAAAGGATATGACTGATTTAAAGCAGACTCCCGCGGTCGTGGTTCACCATTTGGTGAAGACACTAAGACATTTTGCATTGCATTTGCAAGCGTTGATGCATAATTATTATTTGGTCACTCTCAAATCTAAGAAAATTTGAATCCAATACCTCCCTATGACAAGATTCACCGTATAATATATTAGATTTAAGTTATGTGACTATGACTATCAGTCTATGTGTGTTGCGTGATCTGAATCAAATTAGTCCACACTATTACGCAAATAATATTTGGGTTCACGAGTCAACCCGCCTACTCGATTCTGACTCACAAACTCGTGAACCCGTATATATAAACTGTAACGCCCGCATAATCGGGCAAGTCAATTTAGAGACAGTGAGCATCAAAAATGACTTTTTAATGGAAGATTATTTAGAAGGAATAATCTTAACCAAATTAAAGTATATGTCACAAGGGTTCCGTACATATAAAGAACACTGAAATCCGAGTTATAACGAAGAAGTTATGACCCGTCGAAATTTTACGAAAAAACCGGCACGGCTAGGGGTGAGCAAAAACCGCACGACAACTAAAACTAACCGCATAAACCGCAACCAATAATCCGCAACCGCAATAAAAACTGATGGTGAGGTTTTCTGTTTTTCAAAAACCGCAAATTTGTGGTGCGGTGCGGTTTTTAGTTTTCAAAAACCGCAAAAAAAAAAAATTATGCACCGCACCGCATATATTATATATATATTTTTTATTAAATATTAATATATTAAATATTAAAATTAATATAAGTTTCATTGATGAAAGAACGATAAAATTGTAGAAGACAAAAATGTTGGTTTTTTGTTATATTTAACTTTGAAAAATGGTGAAATTTCACAATTTTAAGATATTTATTGTTAAATTACTAGTGATTTCACGTTTTTAAGATATTAATTGTTTGTAATTTAAGTTAATTGTCTTATATCTTATTCTTTTTTTATTATTACAAGTAATATGTTTGAACTCTTAAAACCGTTTGAACTCTAAACTACAGTTATAAACCACACAAAATAACCGCACCAAATTCATGCGGTTAATAACCGGAAAAAAACCGCACCTCATAACCGCACTGCAAAAATAACCGCACCAAATGGTTTTGAAAATGAATTAACCGCATTTGCGGTTAGTGGTGAGGTTTTGACCAATAAACGCACCGAACCGCACCGCGCTCACCCCTAGGCACGACACAGCATAACGTGAAAAGTGGATTTTTGATAAATTAGTTTTTAGCCTTAGAGATCTAAATAAAAGTCGTATTATACGTTAAACCGAGAACGTGCATTAAAAGAACGTCCAAATCTGACTTCGTATGATGAAGTTATGATTTTTCTAAGAGTTAGCATAATAGTGCACATCCCGGAATTCGAATTTTAGATCGATTGATTTTTAGCCGACACAACCTAAATGAGAATTGAAGATCTCATTAATAGGAGCTCAAAGATAAAAAAGACAGTCGAAAACAGAGTCTGTATGTAAAAGTTATGAATTTTACACGGTCGTTAACAGTGTAATCTTCTCATACTATTAAATTTAAAATCTTTTCGAGAATTAGCTGACGGAGTCTAAACAAAAGTTGTAGAGTACGTCTCCATCTACGCATGAATATAAAGAACGTCGAAAACGGAGCTCGTATGCGAAAGTTACTGAATTTAGAAGTCGGAATGGTGCTGTTGCGAAAGGGGTGACGTGGCTTAATCTGGACCATAGCATTCTCCCTAAGCCTTGCTACCAGAGGGTGACATGTGGCACCAACTCGACGAGTTGGAGGCCAAAACTCGACGAGTAGGTCCAAAATTCAGCCTATAAATAGCATGCGAGAGTGCCTTCATTTCTCACACCAAAACCCCTTCACTTCTCTCTCTAACTTCTCTCTAAGCCTCCTAAAACCCTCCCAAAGCCCTAGTAACCTCAAGGTGCTAGAGGAAAGCTCCGGAGCGCCCGAAGGCTCCGAGAAAAAGAGCTTTTCAGCTTGGAAGTTCTGCCCCCGCAGAGCCCGGTTACTCGCTAAACCCCTTGTAAGTTGAGTTATGCTTACTGTACTTTAAGTATAACTTATGTTTAAGTTCATTATCGTTATTATGAACCTATAAACAAGATTTATCAGTGATTCCAAGTTGTTATACCGATTGATCTACTTACGGGGATGATGTCTAGGCTATGATTTAGTGAGGTGTTTAAAGTGGGATTTCCAAACAGTATACTTTATATACGAAACGGACCCAACCTCCGATATGATCCTACCTGGTTGTTCCTTACTTGATAGATCATGAAAGTAGCATTGAGTTAATGATGAATCTAGACTAATAATTAGTCGCAATAAAGATTAGACTAAAACATAGCGATAATAATGCTAGGTTTCATCGAAGGAAAATAGAATCGTTAGAAGCGAAGCGCTGCCCAAGTTTGAAATCATCTCTTTAACAAGTGAGTGCATAGTTACTTTCATCTTACACATAGATATGAAGTATTTAATATAAATTACGTGCTATGTGTGTATATTACCTGTGTTCTTGATATCTATGCTGGATAAACAAAATATACATGTCTTATTCGATTTAAACTGTATATATATTTTATACCTATAATTATGATGGGTAAAGATGGGTAGATTAAAGATGAAATGAGCTGAGAGATGAAAGATGATATAGATGATGAGAGGTGAAAGATAATGAGAAGCCTTTAACCAAGCGTTGGCTCAGTCATCTAGCAGAGTATAGATGACAACCACAAACTATTCTAGACAGTCCAGTGGAACGCTAGCAGGCTCGTAACCTGTAGGTGTTGTGAACGATGTGTTCACCAGATGTACTCTAAATATCCTCGCAGCTGCGCCTAAATGATAATATTGGCAGCTGTGCCTAAACCTTTGAACTACGTGTTCACCAGTTGTAAGTTAAAACCCTGCCAGCTATGGACTTAGTGTCTTATGAATGGACATTGGTAGCTATGGACTTAGTACCTAAAGGATAGTTTTGGCAGCTGTGCCTAATAGATAACATCGGCAGTTATGGACTTATTGCCTGTTAGATGAACCCTGGCAGTGATGGACTTCGTGCCTATTCCTTAGGACAATCCTTAGGAATGAATGAATGAATGAATAGATGATTCTTAGGGTAGATCCTTTAGAATAAAGAAGATAATGAGGATGGGTACCTGGGTTGATTGTTTGATGATTAAACATAATAATTATATTATTGTGGGTTGAAAACCCTATGTACTCACCAGGTTTCCCAACCTGACCCACTCAGTTTATTTGTATCATAGGTGTCGATATGAAGCTACATTACACTGAGAGATTAAAGGAGATGTAAATCGCTAGTGTAAATGAATGTAAGGTGTAAATGAATGTAATGTCTGTTTATGCTTATGTTTCTGTATTGACGATGGCATCCCAAAGTTTTTATATAAACAAAATACATTTCTTCGGAAATGCTTTGAATATATTTATCATGTTTTTCTGCTAACAAATTCCGCAATATTAATCTTTAAAATGAATACTCTGATTTTCAAATAAGCATAAATAAAATTTTTAAAATGACTGTGAATTTAGGGATGTCACATAAACATGTTAGACGGGTCGTGTCCAGGTTAATGTATCCAACCCGTGCCCCACTAACCCGCCACTCAAATAATATACGGGTCGTTTACGGGTTGATACACTTTGACCTGTTAATCATCGACCTGCCAACTCGAATCTGATACGAATGTCTCCTTTATATATATATATATATATATATATATATATATATATATATATATATGAAATTTTTTAAAAATATTATATTGAACAAATAGTTAATTAAACTAATAGATAAAAACTTATTTGGTTAAAGAGATATCTCTATGTCATAAACTATATATTTGATTTATATATTCAAATATATATTAGATTATGTATTTTTATTAAAATAAAATAAAATAAAACAAATAAAACATTAAAACATTAAAGTTGATAAGTTAATAATGAACAAATAGATTGAAAATTTTCAAAATAGTTTTTAATAACTTATGAGATTTAAAATATATATGAATATTAGATAGTTATTTTAATTTTATATTTTTTAATTAGTGTAATATATATTTATTTAAATATAACTTATTAATCAAATAACCATACATTAAAGTATCAATTTTAATTTTTTTAGTCACCTATCATATTTTTTATTTTTTCATATTTAACACCCGACATTTTAATATACGTTAAATATATCACATTTATTTTAACTATCATTTACATAATTATTTTACTAAATTAAATACCATATATAGATTAAATAATAATACATTAAAGAAATTAAAAAGGAAAATCCTTTACCCCCTTCCACCCCTTGCCCACTCATCTATTAATACATGTCCCTCCTCTTTGAGACCAAAACGAGATAAACACACACATACACATAAACACACATTCCTCAGAGTGCTCTCTACGAGAGTATCTCCTCACCATCAATCCATCATCATCATCATCCTCTTCCAAAAACCCACATTTCACCTTCACTATGTGTAATCCTAACACCACACCACCCTCCACCGTCTCATTGAAGCCCTCCGATCACCTCCCACCATCACCACCCCCGGCACAGTCCCATTTCTACCTCGATCTCATTTCATTACCTGTAACCAAAACCCATTTTCAAACCTCAAAATCAGACCCCCAATACCATAAAAACAACATCCTCCTCCTTCCTACACCTTCTGAAATCTTCCATGAAACCAAAGCTCTGTTCAAGCTTTCTTCTCCGATTGCTTTAACTGCTCTGATTCTCTACACGCGTTCCATCATCTCTATACTGTTCCTCGGTCATCTAGGTGAAACGGAGTTAGCCGCCGGCTCGTTAGCCATAGCTTTCGCTAACATTACCGGCTACTCTGTCTTATCCGGCTTGGCTCTTGGCATGGAGCCGCTTTGTTCTCAGGCGTTTGGGGCTCGCCGGCTGAAGGTTTTATCAGTCACCTTACACCGAACGGTTATTTTCCTTCTGGTTGTTTGTTTTCCGATAGCAGTCTTGTGGCTAAATACGTCACGGATTTTGATTTATTTACATCAAGACCATAACATCGCACGTGTGGCTCGCACGTATCTGGTTTTCACTCTTCCCGATTTGGTATCCAATTCCTTCATTCACCCGACCCGCATTTACCTTCGGACTCAAGGCATCACCTTTCCCTTAACTATCGCTTCCTTGATTGGCACGCTTCTACAATTACCAATGAACTATCTCCTTGTTTTCCGATTCCGTCTCGGTGTTGTTGGAATCGCAACAGCATCCTCACTTTCCAATTTCGTTGTGTTGGTGGCGGTTGTTTCCTACGTATGGTGGACCGGGTTGCATCTGCCAACCTGGTCCACTCCGACCCGGAAATGTTTATCCGGGTGGGGGCCACTGGTTCGCTTGGCCGCACCGAGCTGTGTCTCGGTCTGCCTCGAGTGGTGGTGGTACGAGATTATCATTGTACTCTGCGGGCTTTTAGTTGACCCGAACGCAACAATCGCTTCAATGGGCATTTTAATCCAAACGACTTCGTTAATATATGTGTTCCCGTCTTCTCTTAGTTTTGCAGTTTCGACCCGAGTTGGAAACGAACTCGGGGCGAATCGGCCTGATAAGGCCCGAGTCTCAGCTATGGTGTCAATATTTTTTGCGGGCATAATGGGGTTATCTGCAATGCTATTTGCAACATCAATGAGGGAAAAGTGGGGTCAAATGTTTACAAATGATGCAAATATCTTAAGGTTAACATCCGCGGCCCTACCAATTATTGGATTGTGTGAATTGGGAAACTGTCCCCAGACAGTTGGCTGTGGTGTTGTACGCGGTACAGCCCGACCAACTACTGCAGCCAACGTAAACCTGGGTGCTTTTTATTTTGTTGGAATGCCAATTGCAGTGGGTCTTGGGTTTGGGCTTGGAGTTGGGTTTATTGGGTTTTGGGTCGGGTTACTTTCGGCCCAGGTTTGTTGTGCCGGGCTGATGTTATATGTGGTAGGGACAACAGATTGGGAGCATCAAGCAAAGAAAGCGGAGATGTTAACATGCAACGGAGGTCGAGGTGGGGATCCACCTTTAAGTTCGTCGGATAGTGACATTGAAAGCCAACCGTTGATGTGCATAACAAAGACACCGTCGTGATAATATATTTGACCAAAATATATAGAGAACCTCATTTCGAAACTCATAATTATTCTTATTTTTGGAATATTTTGAAAAAGGGGGTTTTGTTGAGTTTGATTGTGCATGTAATAATATTATTACTGATTTTTTTGGGGTGGGAAAGTAGGAGAATACAGAAGTCAAAATTAAAAAAGGAAGTATAAATGGAAATTTTTGTTAATTTGTTTTGATTTTCGTTTTTACATTTTTACCTTTGCTTTTGATCACCCTCTTGTTAACATGGCTTTGTGTGATAATGGAACGTGAAACTTCGGTGCATCTATTGTTTTTTTTTATATCATGTTAGCTTTTAGTAGTCCGAAAGTTGATATTTTTTCCAAATCATCAATTTTGAACATGTATTATTGTTTATTTGTTGTAATCTCACATCTTATTACTAAAAAGCATATGATGAGTCGTTTTCTAAAAGATTAGATGAATATAGAGCCGAGTCACTTCTAGTTTAACACGTTTGTTTGTTTTAGTAAGCTTAAATGACATTTAACTAATTTTGAGTTGTTTCCCGTCAATTAGAATTTCAATAACGTTTTATTAGAAGATACCCAAAGACAATGACAAAAGTATAAAGATTCAGATATAAATAGTTGAAACAATATGTTTTGTGAAAGCCTTTTTCTTGCAAAGAGATATTCTTGTTAAACATGGAGTTGATTATTAAAATAACGAGTTGATGTCAAAAGATCTTTGTTGTAACGGTATTAAGGTGTTGAAAAAATCTTCATTTCCTACGGGTTTGATGGTGCAAGTCCCGTGGTGGATAAAAAATAAGTAGTTTAGTAGTAGGATATTTTTTAGAACGCCATAAATTTATTAGATAACTAGTGAGAAACTAGAAAAACATTACAAAGAATTACAAAGTAACTTAGGGTTTTGGAGCCAGCTACCCCCCAAAAAAGCATAGCTTTCTTACACCAATTCGGAATCCAAAAGAAAGTGGAACAAACAATATCATTAAATAAGTCTTAGAGCTTAGGTGTAACCTTTCAAAAAAGGAGATTATTTTTGAATCTCCACATCTCCCAAAAGTAGATATGACCGCTGCATCAAGCGCCTTTCAAACTGAAACCGTGCCCGCAACGATATTCGCCCAACAAAGAACCGATCAAACCGAGTCCACTACCGGAATAGCAAAACCGCACCAATTAGCAATGCGCAACCAAATACCTTTTGACCTATTAGCCAGAATTTTGCCAATGATCTTGTGTTGACACTCGGTGAGGCTAAGAGGAGGTAAGTCTTTAATAGACTGTGGATCTTGAACTTTGGGAATAACCGTAAAAAGGGAGGCATTACTACCCTTATGAATACCCTCCACTTCAAAAACCCTAGTAACAAAAGCCACCACATCTTCCTCAAGAAAATCCCAAAACTACATAATAAAGGCAAGAGAAAAACCATGTGGTCTAGGAGCCTTATCATCACCACAATCCCACACTGTTATTTTGATCTCATCATGAGTAAAAGTAGCAACAAGTTAAGTTTTATGATCATTCGAGAGAGTTTTAAAAATTGAGAAGAAGTCTTTGGATGTCTACTACCCTTCTGTCTCCAGAACAATTGCTGATAATAATTTTTGAATTCATCTTTCACATTAATTGGATCGTACATCCAAACCTCATCCATCATAACCCCATATTAGAAATATGTCTTATTTTATGGTTAAAAATATCATGAAAATACTTAGGATTCCCATCCCCTTTTATCCCATATTGGACCTTAGCTTTTTTAGCTAAGTCAAGGTAGATCTCATAACACCTAAATAGCCTTTAATCGGGAATCTCTAGCAACAGAGGAACCATCATTCCAACGAGAATTGGAATCATAACTATCAACCTCCTTTTGAAACTCCAACCATCTTTTGCCCATCATCATTAACCGATATTCACAGCTCCAAACATAAAGCTTATTTTTAAGAGATTCTAATTTTTTTGGAAGAATAGCCTGTTTTGGTCAAAAATCATCTAAGTAGAATTGAACCAAATTGTATGAGAGGCTATGTTGTTCGTCATAAATCAAGTAAGAAATGATAATCAAAGTGACACAGTTGAGTTACAAGGAAAGCCTTTGATCCTTGATAGGATCTCCGACATAAAACCTTCGGAGGTGATAATAATCACCGGCCTTAATGATTTTATTGATATCAAATGTTGAATACAGAAATGAATGTGTAAATGTAAGTACAGGTATCATGGAGTAGCTCAATGTGTCCTTAATACGCTAATTACATGTGCTATTTATAGTCTAACGCTAATAACAAGAAGTTCGATAATTTTGGGATCCTCCAAAATCAGTATATGAATGTTATTTGACTTGGTATTCCGGGTCTTTTGCCTAGTTGACATGACTCTCCGTTGAGAATGGGTCTTTGTGTTGACTCATTCTGCACATGTGAGAAAAATAGAGAAAATATAGTCGTTACAAATGTTAGAAATATTAGTGGTAATAGTCAGGATCCCGGGATATGTTTAAGGATCCTGAGACTTCAGGAATAATTGAGGATCCTGAATATGAGTCAATGATCCTGCCCCTAACAATTTCCCCTAAATTATACATGTGAAATATCAGGGTTAGTTGTCCGTATTAAAGGTATAATTTAAAAATAATAAACGAAAGAGATAAAAGATTTTGAATTTTAAACCCTAATCGGATAGGGTTTATCTGCTCATGGTCAATCATCACGCGGTCAAATCGTACCCTTTATCTTCCGCCATTGGGTTAAATAGGCTAATCCTCTTAACTCTTTTTACCTTATCCAATATGTCTCCAGTTATCTTCTCAGATAATTTCTTCTTATTATTCTTCCTTTTGTACTTTTCCTTTCTCTGATCATGGGCAAGAAGATGGTCCGTTCTCGTTCTAGCATTAACGATCCTTCAAAGAATGACTTTGTCAATCAGAGGATTCTGGGCCAAGCCGAGCTCTTGTCCTTCAATGACGAGGACATGCAGTCCCTTAAAGCCAATGGAGCCTTCCCCTCTTATGCGATCTTCAGGTCCTTTGACCCTTCCATGCAGTTTGATTTCGTTTCTCCCTATTGGGTATGCTTTCCTAAATATCCCTTTTCTCTGGGCCTCAAATATCCTTTTTCGGGTATTATTTCCGATTTCTTCCAAGCTACCAAGCTTTCCTATGTCCAAACAATGCCCACTATTTAGAGGATTTTGTACAGGATTGGGGGAGTGAATCATTCCCACAATCTAGACATTAGCATCACTGAGTTAGCTTCCGTTTATGATCTCTCTACTTTTGGGAGTTCTCATTTTCTTTTTAGGGTTAAGACCAACAAATCTCCTCTTGTTTTAAAAACCAAACACAATGATGGATCATGGATGGAAAAGTTCTTTTTTGTGAGGCGAGATTCTATCGATGGTGGGGACCCCTTGCCTAAAGCCTGGGTTGGAAAGGGTAGGATCTTATTTATTGATCGTGAGGATCCAAGGATTTAAGTTTCTTATTTTGTTCAATTTGATGCAGCTTTCAAGTTTGGGAATCTTTTCCTGCTGCTGAGGATACAGAAGACAAGGTGAGGCATTTTCTTGCTTTACCTGCAGACATCAGATCATTCAAACTCGAATCTCCTAGTCTTCAAGAGGGTTCTTCTACCACAACTTCGATGACTACTGGTAAGGATCCTTCTCGATGTTCTTATCTATTTTATCATAAGGATCCTGAACTTATGGGGATCCTTCATAATGTGTAGGATCCAAAAACATTCGTTCTAGTGCTCGATTTGTCTTGACTGAACTTGAAGATGACATGTCTAGTGGTTTGCTCATGGTAAAGAAGGAAAAGATCCCTCCTTTTCTTGTTCCCAAGAAGACTCATATCGACCTCACTGTTAAGACCCCGACATCTCACAAGAGAAAACTATCTGATGCTTGGGATCTTGAGATTGTCGGGACAGACGAGAAGTTTAAGAAACTGATCTCCTTCTCCCAATATGTGAGCATTCCTGTGTTCTTTTTCTTTTAGTTTTATTATCTATTTACCGTGGTTCCTCTTAGGTTGTTGATTATGTCTCTCGCTCCAGTGAGAATCTCAAAGCCAAACTCACTCAAAAAGAGCATCCATGGAAGGAGCAGGAGGAAACAATAAAGATCTCCAGTAGAGAGTGGAGAAGTTGTCCATGGAGAAGGGTGAAAAGGAAAAGGAACATGTGGCTGAGATGGACGACATGACTGCTGAAGTGAGAATCTGTTGCTGTTTGGTAAGCAAAGATCAAGCTTGCGGAGGATCTTGAAAACCAGGGATCCTGGATTGTAGCAGGGTGGCGTGAAGCTTTAGCAAAACTAACTTGTAAGCCTGTTAGTACCAATCAAGATCCTGAAAGGCAGCAGCAGAAGGCGGGTGAAGAGGAAAATGTTCCGGGCAATGATAATCAATCCACAGTTTATTCCTATTTGGAAAAAAAAAACATTTTAAATGGTTTTTTTTGGGGATGTAAGACAATTAAGAACTTTGTTTTTGCTGGGTTGGTGTGCAACTCTTCTAATGCTATTGTTGTTTTAGATTTCTATCTGCGTGGTTGACTTATATTCTTGTTATGATTGTAGATCTTCTGAGGATCCTTATGCAATAGGATTCTAAAGAATAAGAACTCTTATGATCTGAATACCCTGAAATGGTTAGTAATCAACTTGGGATCTTAAAATAGTTAAGATCTTAATCATTATGTAGGAAAAATTAACTTTAAAGGATAGATAGAACTTGACTATCCTTAGGCACTATGACCTTTAAACTTAGGAAAAGTCCTTTAGTATGATACAAGACGATCCTTGCTTTAAGAGTTCATCAGGGGGGATCCTTGATTGGCCCTGACTCAGTGAACTTGGGAAGGATCCCTCCTTACGAATCAACTGGAAATGACTTCAACTTGGAAAATACCTAAAAAAACTCTTGTGTGATAATAGTGTAACCTTTGTATATTTTTTGGGGAACATCCCAACTTTAGAAAATTC